GTTTTTAGCATATGTTATATCTTTGTAATGTCTCGCTGAATCTGCTTTTCAAACAAACCCGTACAATCTTGAGTTATACCCCCAGTGGCTTAGCGATAGACTTGTACGGCTATAATGTGGTCTTGATACTCATATTGGAAACAGTACATTGTGTAAGGTATCTTGGTTAACTAGCAACAAAACTGTTGTCATTTACCTTTGTAGTTGAAACGTAATAATGTTTATAGGTTTTATTTTGTATATAAATATGTACAGGAATAATATTCAACCCTGTATTGTTAGAAGGAAAATGATGGTGGTTTTCAAATATGTTCTACAATAAAAGAAAAGGGTAATAATTGAATAAATATATGATAACTTCAGATATAGAACAAGTCAAATGACTTGATGTATGGCATCTGTTACAAAAACATGGCTGTGAAGAGTGATATGATTTTTACAAAGTTGTGTTCTATAAGTTTATAGAATTCTTAATGTACAAGTTTTATATTCTATTTCTAAACTATTTTAGTAAATAAGTGTTATTTTTAACAAGATATATGACATCAGTTTTATGGAATTTAATTTTAATGTCGAAAAAAGACCTGTTTTCAGACTAATTAGTGCTACATAAAGATTTATTCTCGCCTTAGTGTCACTAGAACACCCCCCTCCCTCTCTAACACATAATACTTGTTTTTGATCCACTGTAACCCTCTCGATTTCGGCGCGTGGGTGTGGACGCTGCACGTGTTAATTTATTAACTAATGAATGTGTGCTTGCTGTGAAATGGTAGGCTGTATGGCAGATAAAAAAAGATAAGTTTAAGTTTTGACGGCCTTTTTATTTAGATAGGTGTTTAATAAAAATATATAACGGTTTCTTTATAAAAGTGTTCTTTACAGTCTTGTCTATAAGATGACTACTATATTTCTGTTTTACGTTAAGAAAGTTGTAATACAAATCTTTCAATGTAAGGATAAAAACTGGAACTTCACCCCAAGCTCTGGAAGAATGACAACAAATCTGTGTATTTAATTAAGGAGTACCATAATGTGATTTAACTGTAATGGTCGCTTGTGATGAAGATAACAATGAGGGTTTTTCGTGCCGGGGCTAGTCCCCACCGTGATTAGTTTTTAAAGCGAAGGTTTGAACCCCTGTGGTTAAGTTGTAATCATATAACTGTTCCAGTAATATTTGTGAGACAACAATATATAGACCTGTTTGTATGGATGATAAACGAACATAACAACTACTCCAGCTAGATTGACTACGCTTTAAACAATCAAAACTTCTATTTTGATAACTTGTTAGGCAGCCCGACAAATTTGACTACCCGATTTCAAAAGCTGTTTTCTATCTGTATTGCTAAATGTCTTCGTGCCTAAATTTAAAAACTGGAATATATTAAAACCGCGATCCCAGGTGTTTTAACACCTGTTGTTATTTCGAGAAGTCTCAAGATAGCTGTGTCATCTTCCAGGAGGGAGTCTGTCACGCGCAGCAAACATGATTTTTCAACCAAAGGCGACTCCTTATCGCTGCTGGACATAGTCCCGCGAGGCCAGTTAGGTCAGTTTCATGAGTCATACTCACAGACACACACACACATGACCTCATTTGTCCCCGTGAGTTGAGTTCTTCGTGTTTACGTGGAGTAAGCGCAAGGAATCCTGGTAGAAATGTTCGTGTGTTGGAGATTATTTTTATGAGATTTGTAGGGGGCAATGCAACGAATGAAACATTTTAAACGTTTCAGATTTTTGTATTTTATATGTACTTTAAATAACCTGCAAATATTTTAATATTATTGTGGTACAGAGCAGTTTCAATATTTTTTAAAAATAGCTACTATAAAGTAGTTATGTTATTTGAATGTTGAACTATGAACACGGTCATCATGATTACTATCAACACTGTGTATTCTGTTCGATAATACATTCTGTTCAACTGATGTACACTGTTTACAGAAAAACAATCATGAGACAGATATGGCTGGTTCAATAATTTAAAAAAATTATTTAAATTTCTGAAAATTACATGCATTCAGTCCCAGCTCATCAGAAATATGGGTGACCTGTTTCTGGGGGCAGCTATAAAAGTAGTGCATTCTCTGGGTTCCCAGAACCAATCAACAGAAGCTTATCTACAGTTTATAAATTTATTTTATCAAAGAATGCGTGACGTATATGGTTATTTTTCGTTTCTGAGTATAAAACAATCAATGATTATGAAGTACTCGTATCTTTAATAAACGACTTAGTTTGTATATTGCAATGAGGGATCTTGAGATTTAATTGAACACAAATTGGCATGATATTATTAAGATTTTGAAGAAGGAACCCCAAATTTCATTGAATTAACTCGGCGTTTTCAAGTGTAACATCCTTGCCAACAATTATTTTAGTATTGTACTTCAAATAAAGTATTTTTATACATAATTCTTTAGTTGACAGTTGGATGAGTATTGCTATATCGAATGTAATTACTTTCTCGACCATTATTATAGTTTTATTATAAATATTAATTTGTATTGTTACCTTAGAACTTATATTTATGACTAGCCTAAATCTCGTAAGCTGGCTGAACATCTTCAGGTATTATTGGGTTTACGGCCGAAAATGTCGTTAACGTGTGTGTACCCAACTTATGAAACATTACATTCTGGTCTTGATAATTAGATGTATAAGAAAAGTGTATTAAATTACCTATCTTGAAAATCATGTTGAATTTTATTCTCGTCCACAGTATGTAACTTGTTCTAAGGGGAAATTATTATATGTTCCTCAACTTTTACTATTTGTTATTAATTGAATTAACGACGTCGTATTTCGAGTGGCATATTTTCGTGGAAGCTAAGCAACATTTGTGATACACTTGGATTAGTTGAAGGTATAGAATGTGCTAAAGGTTGTGTCTAGTTTTCAACATACAGGTTCACGTGTCACATGACATCACTTTTATAACTGTACTGCGTTTATGTAATAGTGATTTTTAACTTCATCAAATTATTAAATGTTAAATACTAATACATTATAAGGTAATATTCGACGTAGAGATCTACTGTTGAATAAATACGGTGTTATATTTTCTTACTTATGTCGAGGTATGTGTTAGGCGTAGTAACACATACTTAATGGAATTTGGTGTTCATCCGCAGTTGCGTGTTTCAATGGTTCCATAACCTGATTATAGCCGTTGTTGTTGAGCTGGTCAACGAAGGTTCGTGCGGACTCGGTTTGCGCTCGTGCATTTGATAAGACTAAAGAATAAAGTGAAAGCTTGTTAAACCTGGATTTTAAAATCGCCTTTCCCTGTTAACCTCTACAAACTAGAAGTGTAAAAATGTCTATGATACAGCAAGGGTCGATGTTAGAGATGTTGAAGAAGAAAATGAAAGCGGTAAAAGACGAAATGGAAAATGCAAAGGAACACCTTGAAGAAACCGAGGCGCGGCTTCAGGAAGAGGTTCGGCGACGCGAGGAAGTAGGTGCCAATCCCATTTTCGTAACGCAATAGTAATAGGCTTAACGTTGGTGCTAACTACAAGTGGAAACGAACAGGTGGCAGCTAGCACTATTTTTCTTTCAGTCCACAGATTATAACGCATATAATTATTTTATTGTAACTAGTACTAGAAATTACTATAAAACTTTACGTAGAAATAGATTTACATTCACAGAATATGATAAAATAATCCCTCCATGTTACATGGGTGAATGTGTGACTCACGATCCTCACCCCCCAAAAAAATGCAAGGTGGTTATTGTTGGCTGGGGGATTCACTTTCGCAAGATTTGTTCATCATTTTAGCAGTAACCCTGGTTACAACTTAGGTATCTGGCTATAATAAGATTGTCTAATGAGAATTGGATGTTTTCGACAGTAAATATAATGCAACTTTACAAAACTGCATATTTTATATGATTCGATGTTAAGTTTGTTGTTGACAAGCAACTGGTTGTGCACTGTGTAATTCTGAAGCATGCCAACCCGAGAACTCCATATTCTAGTTGTGTTAGTGAAAAATCACTCTGTAAATAGGACAAATCTAGTATATCAAGTGTTCAACAAAACCTTTGAAATACAGAATCTTCCCTCTTTCAAAAAAACAAAGCTTAAATTCAGTGCAAGTTTAATGTGAAAATATAACCTTACCTTTTTATTGTTATTGTGTTAACTGGTGATAGCATGTTATATACATGAAGTTCACAAAGTTTCTGTTTTATTTATATGATTATTAAAATATTGTATGTAGCTTTTCTTTACTAATGGAGTTTTTATCCACGTCTTTCTGATCGTATTGAACAGTGACTTAAATACCTGAAGTGCTTATTCACAATAACCCTATATAAACCCCCTTATTTTGTTATATCCAGTTACTTTTATCCTATATAAACCCCCTTATTTTGTTATATCCAGTTACTTTTATCCTATATAAACCCCCTTATTTTGTTATATCCAGTTACTTTTACCCTATATAAACCCCCCTTATTTTGTTGTATCCATTTGCTTTTACCCTATATAAACCCCCTTATTTTGTTGTATCCAGTTACTTTTACCCTATATAAACCCCCTTATTTTGTTGTATCCAGTTACTTTTACCCTATATAAACCCCTTATTTTGTTGTATCCAGTTGCTTTTACTCTATATAAACCCCTTATTTTGTTATATCTAGTTACTTTTACCCTATATAAACCCCCTTATTTTGTTGTATCCAGTTACTTTTATCCTATATAAACTCCCTTATTTTGTTGTATTCAGTTACTTTTATCCTATATAAACCCCCTTATTTTGTTGTATCCAGTTACTTTTATCCTATATAAACCCCCTTATTTTGTTGTATCTAGTTACTTTTACCCTATATAAACCCCCTTATTTTGTTGTATAGGCTGAAGGTGAAGTAGCTGCTCTCAACAGAAGAATCCAACTGCTTGAAGAAGACTTGGAACGATCAGAAGAAAGGTTGAAAATAGCTACCCAAAAACTGGAAGAAGCATTGCAAGCTGCTGATGAAAGTGAACGGTGAGTGCTAGTGTGAGCTTTATGGACACTCAAAGATTACAATACATGATGTTTTGTATTCGTGTTTCAGCTTAATGTTAGTGTTACATGAGAAATTGGTATTAAAGTTGTTAGGTTCTTGTTTTTAAGTTATCTACTCTGAAACTACTGATTGATAACTTAATGTTCTTGTTTTTTTGTTATATCTTGTTTTGAGAAGTCTTCCATCCATATACACACATATATTCTTGGTGAATACTTCCATCCATGTTGAAGTAACTATATGATCCCTTGTCAGGATTATTACACACATATATTCTTGGTGAATCCTTCCATCCATGTTAAAAAGGGATCATACAGTTACAATAATCCTGACTATGATCCCTTGTCAGGATTATTACACACATATATTCTTGGTGAATCCTTCCATCCATGTTAAA